GTTTTTGGCAGGCGACGCCTGTGTTCCCAGGCCTCCAAGCTGGGATTCAGGAGCCCATGGCAGGAGCGAGCGGCGAACGTGCAGCGGGGTTGATGGAGACATAAAAAGAGATGGAGATGTGCTGGTCCCCCGGTGCTGTTGCTCTGAGATGTTAATGCGTTCCTCGCTCTGCCAAAACTGTGCACGGTTCAGGCCACGGGTAGGGAATGTTTTTTAAGCCAAAAAATGGTGATTTCTTTTAAATTGAGTTTGGTGTTTTGTTTTGTTTTTTTGTTTGTTCTTTTAATTACAGAAGCACCTTCAGAGCCTGCAAGTATCTACGTTTAGGGTCTGGGGAATTTTTTTTTTTCTTTTCTTTTTCCAAGTGAAAAGCAGAAACAGCTGCATCAGCTTTGGGTGCCAGCCGAGGCTGTTTTCGGTGACTTAAGCTGGTGGCGAGTCACTCGTCAGGGCAGGGCTCTGTGCCAGGCACCAGCGTGCTCAAGGTCTCACGCAGACAGCACCTAAGGACGAAGCGGGGCAGCCGTGAGGGAGACATTTCTGGCTGGGAGGCAGCCCCGGGGGAGCTGGATCTGCCGCCCTTGTCCCACTGAGTGATGGGAGCGTCGGCGTCCGGCTCCACTGCGGCGAGCAAGTGGTTTTGCAATATCGAGTCCGTTTTCCATTGTTTTTTGCTGTATCAAGTCCATTTTCCCTTCCCTGCTCCTGCACTCCTGTCCCCGCTTCCGCCAGACCGGCTGAGCAGCCAGGCCAGGACCAAGGTCAAGGAGCTAAACTGGCTTTAAATTTTCTTTAACATAGGCCAGATCTGTGATGATTTTAAGGCCAGATCAGAGTCGCAGGCTTGACCCTGCGGCACCTGGGGCGGCTCGTGGTGGGTGCGTTGGGCTGCTCTTACCGCCGGGCGCTGCCCTGCAAAATCCCTTGGGGCGCTTTTGCTCTGCTAAAACTCAAATGGTTTTTTTTAGTGACCACAACAGGATTTAATCCCAAACCAGGTAGGGTGTGTTGGGGCCCGCTGGCTCTCTTCCTGATGCAAAGCGGGCTCCAGAGCACCTGGCCACCAGATTTTCGGGAGCTGACCCACGGGATCAGCCGGAGCCGGGAAAATCCAGGCTGAGCTTCCCGCGGAGCTGTCTAACGCTTCGGCACCTCTTCCTGACCCAGACCCAGCGGTTTCGCAGGCCCTCGACAAAAAGCAGAGGCTGCTTGGCCCCGCTGCTGCAGTTCTCCGCGCTTTGTGGCTCAGCCCAGGAGAGGGAAGCCGCGAGCCCTGCCGCCTGGCCGGCCTGGCGCTGGGGCGAGCGGGCGGCCTGG